AACTTTTAGGAATTCTCTCTTTACTAAGCGCAACAACTTTACAAGCCCATTTGATTCGCCGCGACGAAATTACCTCAATTATATTACCCGGATACAGTTCACGCAATTCGGCGTTGTGTAACCGTCTGAACTTTCCGGTTAACTCATCCTTCTTCGTTCCGAATATTCTACGCAATACTTTATTTTAAAAACCTTAAGACGCTGCTCATCCCTTAATGTAAGCGGCCAAGTTTCGCATCCATAAAGAACTGTAGGCAAGATAATTGTTTTATAGATTCTAATTTTTAAGTTCCGGGACAAGAGGCGCGAACTGAGTAGTTTTGTCACAGAAAAATAACAAGCATTTCCCGCCTTCAGTCTAACCTTAATCTCTTCTTCAATTTCGTTTTTTCTAGTTATCGTAGAACCTAGATACCTAAATTTATCTACCTGTTCAAACATATTACCATCTATATCGATATCACCAGTAGTATCGCCATGTTTGCAGCTAACCATATATTTTGTTTTATCCACGTTTATTTCGAGTCCTAGTTTTTTACCGGCTTTCATTAACGTTGTCGTATTTAGTTTTATAGTTTCAACGTCTTCGCTTAAAAGTACCAGATCATCAACATAGCCCAGCACGGTTGTTGTCCCACCCAGATCCAACCCTTTCTCGGTACGTATTTCCTCCCTAATGGCATGTTCTAATGCCAAATTGAACAGTTCAGGCGAAAGGGAATCCCCCTGTTGAAACCCGAGCGAACCTCAAATTTTTTCGACAGATTATTACCGATTATAACTTTATTGAGTGTCTCCGTCAAGCACATCCTGACTAGATTTACTAGTTTTTTTGGAATCCCCTGCTCGATTAGAATATTATACAGCTTCTGGCGGTCAATAGAATCGTAAGCCTTTTTAAAATCTATATACAGCTGGTGAACAATACCGTTGTGCTCCAATTTTTTCTCTAATATTTGCCGTAAAGAAAATATTTGATTAATAGTTGAACGATTCCGTCTAAATCCGCATTGGTAGTCTCCGATAATTTTCTCGGCGTATTCCGTAATTCGACTGGTTAGGATTAAAGTGAATATTTTATAACATACCGGAAGGAGTGAAATTCCTCGATAGTTATTACAATCCGTCCTCGGGCCCTTCTTGTGAATCGGAATAAGAATAGATTCTTTCCATTCCTCAGGTAATTTCTCATTCACCCAGATCTTTTTAACCAATCGATGTATTTTAGAAACTTCACGGTAAGCAATAAGATAAATTAAGTATTTCTTAGTTATCGCTTCATATTCAACAAAAAACGTGACTCGCTTTAAAAATCACAAATCTTAAATTTCCTACTTTTCTGCTGGAAATCGGGTAATTGTTTATATGAACTTTTTTTCTTCAAAAAAGTTCTACTCTTGATGTCTACTATCACCATTTTAAATATTTCTCTCTACTTACTGGGCGTCTTGTATATGTATGAAAAGGAGGGAGAAATATTCAAGCAATCAATAGGCTTCATTATTCTAAACGTTCATTTTATCAAGAAACATCAAGTTTTTCACATATAAATACGCATCAGTTCCTATGGCAGATATATGGCAGAAAAACACAATTTCATAACCTCCTGACATAACAAAAAAAACGCTGCAAATGATTTCACAATGGTTTATTATCTCCAAACAATTATACATCTAAAAGTAACATTACCTTCCCAGTTACAAAGAAAAAAAGGTGATTCCAATTATTAGACTAAACTGTTTTTCTTTAATCATTAGTAATATGCTAAAAAAAAAAAGCATTAGTTCAGTAACACATTTAAAATTTAAAAACCAAACCAAGGATATAACATTTGGAGTAGAACACATTAAAAAAAACCGAAGATCATATCTTTGCTCCTAATTGTCCGATTTTAACGATTTTTTTTTTTTTTTTTTTAGGAAATTTTGTAAACTTTTAAAAATCTATATACAATATCAACAAAAAAAGTAAAAACTTTTCGAGTTATTCGGAATTTAATTTTAACATTCTTCGTAACTTTTTTTCCAGCTTCTTTTCGTTGAAGTATGTTATATAGATAAATTTAAAGGGCGTCGAGAAAATGACTTTAGCGATGTTTCATTGAAATCTGTACATTCGTTTAGGAGCTACAGTCTATAGCAACGGAGGTTTTTTGGCCGCCATTTTGAAAGTTAAAGGCGGAGAGTAATGTCGATGAAGGAGGATCATCCTCGGGTGACCTCTGATTTTATATCAAAATTTGAAAAAAATCGGTCCAGTAGTTTCGGAGAAAATGGGCGTACGGCGTACGGCGGACGGACAAAAAAATTTTTATTTGTTTTTCGAATTCTACGTATCTTGAAACGTGAAACCTCAAATTTTTAAAGGGGGTTATGTTTTTGAATTTTTTGGTCGATCACAATGTTTCATTATTGAAAATAATAAACCAATATTGGAACAATCATCATTATTATAAATAAAATGTTTTTATGCGCAATTATGTTTATTACATTACACCCTATATCATGGATAAACTAAGAAATAAATGCTTTTAAACAGTTAATTTGCTTAAAACAGAGGTACTTTTGGGGATTGGATAGATAATCACATCATTTCTTCACACAACTTGAGGTGAATCTCAATTTTATTGCCTAATAAACCTCAATTTAATTAGTATAAACTTAAACCATATCAAACGAAGTAGTTTTTCTAAACTTGGTGTATCTGTAGAACAATATAGTGTTGAATAGGAAGCGATATCTAAAGCAATATTTAATTTAATTAATTATCAATTACTTCACAGTAAACTTGATAAAGTTTACTTTAATTGAAAAGGAAGCTTGTCATTATTAAAACCATTTATAAGAACATTGGAGCGATTAAACTAAGCTAAGTTCTGTTTTTATAAATCATAACACTTATAATTTTGTTTTTATCATCATCCAACTATACCACAGTTACCCCACTTTTGGAAAAACTTTCTCGTTTAATAAGGTTTAAGTTTATACTTATTAAATTGAGATTTATTACGCAAAAACTTGAGATCCATCTGAAGTTGTGTAAGAGAATGACGTGATTTTCTGTCCAAGTACCAGTGTTTTCAGCCAAAAAGGCTACAGTCAACTGTTGCAATTTGCAACAAACAATTTGCAACTTGCAAAGCTTTTATTTATTGTTTTTCAATGAGCTGAGATGAATTCTAATAAAATAATTACCTAAATACACACTTTCTTTATTAAAATAAAAAATTTAAAATACGATATTTTTCAAATAAAGTGGTTATGAAATTGTGTTTTCCCCCAGATTTCTACCATAGGAATTGATCCGCATTTATCAGTGACAAACATAATGTTTCTATTCCTTAAATTGACGTTTAAATTAAAGAAACCTAATGATTGCTTGAATTATTTTCATGAAAACGTAAATCATTAATATTTATCAATCATAAATACTGGACAGAGATTTGGAGAAAAACACAATTTCATAACCACCTTACATTAAAATATAAACTTTTTTTTATAAATAAAATATATATTTAGAGTTATTTTTATTATAATTCATTTCAAATCATGGAAAAACAAGAAATAAAAGCTTTGCAACAGTTGACTGTAGTCTTTTTGGCTGAAAACACTGGTACTTTTAGGTGATGGATAGAAAATCACGTCATTTTATTACACAACTTCGGGTGAATCTCAAAATTTTTCCTGATAAACCTCAACTTAATTAATATGGACTTAAAGCTTATTAAACGGCGAAGTTTGCCTAAAAGTGGGGTACATGTTGTAGAGCTTGAGGGGGATACAAAAAAAATATTCATAAGGCCCTAAATGTGTCGCACACAAGCGTAGAAAACCATCTGTACAAGCTTGGCTATGTTTCCAGTCTTACTGTTTGGGTCTCTCACTCTCTAACCAAATTCAACTTGGCATCACTCATTTCTGTTTGTGATTCATTACGGAAACGGCAACAAAACGACTCATTTTGGAAGAGATTGGTAACAGGAAATGAAAAATCGAGATTTTACGGTAATGTTGTCCGAAGAAAATCTTGGAGACCAAGTAGTGAAGCTCCTAGAAGAATGTCAAAACCCGGATTGCATCCAAATAAGATAATGCTTTCCATATGTTGTGATTTCAAGGGTATTATTTACTATGAACTATTGCTATCAGGACAAACAATTGATTTAACTTTACACTGCTCGTTCTGTTTTTCTAAAGGTGGGATAACTGTAGTAAGTTGGATGATGATAAAAGAAAACCGTGAATAATATAAGATTTTTTTTATAACGGGACTTAGTTTAGTCGGTTAAATGTCCTCTTTAAATGGTCTTAATAATGACAAACTCCCTTTTCGATTAAAATAAATGTTGTCTAGTTTACAGTGAAGTAATGGTTAACTACTTAAATTAAATATTTCTTTTCATCGCTTCGTATTCAACAAAAAACATGACTCTCTTAAGAAAACACAAAATTTGGATTTCCTTCTTTTTTGCTAAAAATTGGCCCATTGTTTATATAAACTTTTTTGCAAGTCTTAAGGTCTACTATCACACCTAATAAAAATTTCTTCTACTTACGGGACACCCTGTAGTTGATATATAACTGTTCGGAAATAATAAACTATTTCGTAATAATTTGAAGCATTTTTTTTTTTTTTTTTTTTTTAACGCAGAGTAGTAATTGGCTCCTTTAATTCACAATTCAAAATAACAGTAAGAGATATGTAATAATTATGAAAAAAAAAAAAAAATACAGGTCTGTCTTTTACTGCTCCATGTCAATGGATAATACTTTTACTTCCCCCCATAGTGTATTAACGAAACTTCCAAGAAAAGTGAATTTTTTGGGAAAATATTTCGTGTAATAACTGCAGCTTATGTTAATGGATCTGATAAAAATCACCGTTACATTGACAATCGAAGATAACAATCGTGCAGAATTATACCATTTGTCAACTGAGTGCTCACAGTGGGTATAAGAGGGTATGGGCGGAGTGGGGACAGTCACTCAGGAGTCTTCTTGGACAATCCTTGTCACTCCGGTGGTTCCCGGGTCTCAGCCGTACTCACACATTTTTGGATCATATACTAGAGGTTAGTCTTAGATATTTTTCTGCTATTCATAAAAAATAAAATAAAAAATAACAACATGTAGTATAAAAACAATAATTAATAATGTTAACTGTTTTACATTTAAACTTTGTATAGATTTATAACAATCGATCAAATAAAAAGAATCAATAAAGAAACGATAGATGACGCATCAAATATCTTCATATATTATTTTAAAAACGTTTTTTGTTTGGTACGTTATATTTTTGTTAAATCTTCATCAAATCGATAATTATGACGATTAGTTCAAGTCTCTCGAGCCTCTCTTTATTGAGCTCTAATTTTGAAGATCTTATTCTCATCCTGGTGGGAAAAATAGTCACCCCTCAAAATTTTAAGAAAAAAACTTATGATAAAAAAGAAACTTTATTAGCGAATAACTCAAAAAGTGTTTTGTTTTTCCAGAACATTACTAAATTCCCTATAAAAAAAATAAATAAATTATCAGACTCATATCATTATCAGCTGAGAAATACGTTATTGTAATTTCAGTACAAAAAATTAATGAAGTTTTGTAATAATTTTTTTTCCATGGTAGATTATAATTATCGAAAAAATAGGAGATGATTCCTTTATTCTATGATCAATGATTCGTTGAATTATTTAATTTCCTTATTGTTTTGAAATTTGTTCACAGACCCATATTCTAAAAGGCAATTAACATATTCTAAGTTAATTGGAAATATATTTGATTAAAAATGTATTAAACCTTATGTCAGTATTATGGCTAGTTCTTTCAGCTTACAGACATTTCGACCGGTCAAAATATATTTTTATAATATCCAGTATATCCTATACTTTTTAATATTTTTTTACTTAAAAATTCACTTTTCAAAAAAGCTGACAGCTTCTCGCAATATTTACAAATTCACTATTTAAAAACCCAGTTTCGTATACCACAATTCGTACTAAAATGTATTATATTCAAATACGGTGAAATGGTTTTCATTGTATAAGAATCTCTATAGTAATCGAAAAAAAAATCACTCTCACTTAGGTCCTAGAAAATTAATACTATGATGCTTCTGCCTAAGCAAACAAAGCAGAAGATATAAGTTTTTTTTTTTGTTTATGAAGGCGTCAACCTGTGGGATCATTATCGACACTTATGTTTATAAATTGTTTTAAACACAAATCAGGAAAAATATTATAAATTCTTCGCACTCAAAGCTTTATTTTTTTTTTTACCTGAAAAAAATTTCATTACGAAAAAAAAAATAAAAACAAGTTTGAAATATTCTAAAACAAACCAATGAAGTCTCGAAATAAAGCAAACTATTTTAAAAAGTTTCGATTAAAATTGCTTAATTCAAAATACAATATACAATTTAGGCAATAGCAGTTTCAAAAAATGAATGTATATTATTTTGTTTTTAAAAATCAATGACTGCCAAATCATCAACAAGCAATCAATGAATCTTTAATTTCTTTCGGTATTAGAATAATATTTATTCTTGTATATAATTCTTAATGAATTGAGAAATGGTTATTTAAGAGAAATAATAGATGCAAAAAAGTATTTTCTATTAAATAAAAAAATATATATATCTATACCTCTGAGATGTTAAGCGTGAATCGCTTCAGTCCATCGCTAGTTATATTTCAATCCAGAATCATTAATCGAAGCTGATCCCTTTGACAATCGCGTTCTCTTCTGAGCTCGTCTGTTTTCATTATAGCTAACTCCAAGAAAACATAGATAATTATAAATTAAGAAATAATATATAAAGTTAATGATAAACTCCGACGCTGATCAAAAATTATAACTACTACAATACACTACGAACTGTTAGACACGTTTCGTCTGTTCCTTGAGTATTATCGGTACAAAACTTGCTGTTATTTAATTTTTTGGTTAAATTTACCTCAGTATAAAATCAAATGCTGTCTAAAATCTTTCAACTAGAGCTAAATACTAACCTAAACTTAGTAGCGGTTGGTTTTTAATTAATTTATTTTTTTAATACCGGTTATTACTATGGGGAAAAACAAGAAAAAAACTACCTATGTGAAATGGTGTTTAAGTAACCATTAAAAGCCTGTAAAAAAAAAATAAATAAAATAGTAAAAACCAATTAAAGAAACAATAATGCTTTTAGTGACAAAAGTATTTTCATAACACGTTCTTACATTCAGTAGCTGTATGTGAGTTATAATTTAAAAATAGAACATAATGTGGTTTTTAAGGTGTTCAACATAGATGATTTTTTTTTGTCATTTTGGAAGGGTTCAATCCAAAAACCTCTAGACTAAACCTATCTAAACTTCAATTTGTCTTAAAGCTTTCTGGATTGGTGAAACTTTGACAAGTTTGTCAAATCTTCGGTGGCGGGGTGGCCGAGCGGGCTAACGCGTGTGCATCGTGCGTTGCCCTGTAACATGATAACTGAAGTTTTGGGGTAAATAAATGATTACAGAGTTAAAATCCTCGGTATCCAGTGAAGCTTGGAAAAATCAGAATAATCTAAAAGGAAGAGGAGACAAGAAAAAAAAAAAGAATTTGTTAAGCTTCATACTCGAGAAGATTAGTTTGGAATCTTTCATAAAATCTTAGCTAATAAATAATAGTTGAAGATACAAAGTTTTGTTACATGTATATATTGTATTATTGTATACTATATATGTAAATTGTTTCAATAAACATTTTGGAGGGTAAGAAAAAAAAAAGAAAGTTTATTCAGTAATTGATCGAATATTTGTAATAATACAACCATGATTCAGGGATACTCCGTACTTCTACTTCATGGATATATATGTATATATTATAATTTTTATAATAAAATCTTAGGACGGTCACAGAAAAAAAATATAGTTAAAAATCCTAGATCGAACTCAAAATAGATAATTTACAACAGGATTCGTGATTATAGATGATGAACCATATTTTAGTTTTGTCAGTTTCATAAAAACAAAATAAAGCAACATATATATATATATAATATTTAATATCGATGATTTTTATATTATTGCAAATATATAACTCATTGGTGGTTTGATTATATAAATTAAAATTAAAATTTTAAATTATTTATTAAATTTATTAAATTGTATGCTTCTAAATTTATTTTTGACTGGCCTACTATATAAATTTATTTGATAATTAGTCCGTGAAGTGATTTGTAGCGTAACTTTGTCTGGACTCTACAAATTTAAAAAACAAAACAGAAAAATATTTAGTATGTCATTTGATAAAAGTATTATCTTTAGGAAATTAGGAAAATTTATTGAATACAACTTCAAAAATGTTAAGGATGGATGATTCAAATTTTTTCGATATTTTTATATTTATATCAATATATTTCAGTTTGTTACAATTGGCATAAGAAATGACTTACTTCTTTATAGGTAATAGTTTTGAATTTAAAAAAATAAAAAATGTACCAAAAATAAAGTATCAACAAAGTTCTGTACTTATTTTCTTTAATTCTTTGATGTGATGTATTAATATTTTACTCAGTAAATTCTCAGATTTAATTTTGTTGAAACTACAAATTATGCTAAGATCCGTTAACAGTTTCACATATTGACGTTTTGTGTTGTAACAAAAACAATTTTAACATTGCCTGTCCCCATAGGGACTAGTATGGTCAGATTTCCATTTCCTTACATGAAATGTTCGTGATGTAATAGTCCTACATCTTCAAAAGATATTTGCAGAATCTAACAATTCAGTTATTCATGGAAAGAAATTAATGTGTATATTATGTTTGTTTCCAAAACTATATAATACTTTATATAGCATTAATTGTATTAAATCGATTGTTGAGTTGGTCTATTTTATGTAATCGAACACACACTGCTTAATTGTACTACTAAAACCCATGGAGGGTCTTGTGTTCTTTATTTCACAAGAAAGAAATGTTTCTAGATCAAACGTTGTCAATTGTACTAATAAGTTATAGTCAGCCAATAGTATTTTCCTCTTAATAAGTGATGAGTACCCACTTCATAGTGGCTGAATGTGCCCGATGAGGATCTCTCGACACTAGTGATGGACCACAGGTGATCTAATAGAGTAAAAACTAAATTTGAAATTTACAATGGCCGACAGAACAACCAGTACCTAATTTTTTTAACCATTTTTCTAATTATATTAATTTTAAATAATTTATTATTAAATTATATTTTCTGATCATCCTTTATAAGCTGCAATGATATATTAAAATTATAAATAACCAGTTTTTACTTTCACTTACCTATATATGCAATATATAATAAGGGTAAGTATTGCGATCGTGAAAATTTTCAAATCTGAGTTTTCAACTGAAATACATGTTTTGAGATATCCTGAGTCCAAATGACCAAGTCCCGCAAAATGGTCTGTGTGTGTGTTTATGTACATATGTGCATGTGAACAGTCTAGCCCAAAAACGAAATGAAAATTCGTACGAAAGTGAAATTGTATATTAAGGTTTGTATATGCCTAGGATGTTACAGTAACGTCTTCGTCAATATCGGCTAACCGGACGTGGGGCTTTATATCATCGATTCAACACATTATAAAAATTTTCTCGAAAATGGCTACAACGATTAAACTCAGTGTATCAGTGAACTACTACGCAGTTTTTAATATAATGTAGTTTTTATTTTTATTTATGTTCTCTAACAGGACTTAAATGGTTAATTTTCAATATTAGCTACCTCTAAAGTATCTTTATTTTTTTATTATTAATTAATTAATCATTAATCATAATTAATTTTTGATGTAAAAAGTAGATAAATATAAAATATGAAAGAACTTGATAATTAACTAAAGAAGAAGTAAGAGATCATAACGGATAATATTTGACAAAAAAGAACCATTAGAATACGAGCGCGCTCGAGCTCACGCGAGCTCGCCCGAAAGATTATAACAGATTTCAATACATAACATGAGCTTAATATCATAGGGACGTTGACAATATTATGTACGTATACATATGTCGTTTTCATAAATGATATCGTGGGTATTATTTAATATTCAATTGTTTAGATTACATCGA